GCGGCCCGGTGCTGACGCGCCCCGCGTCCCCTTGCAGGTACGTCCTGGCCCCTTGCGGCGACGGCCCCTGCGCCCGCGTCGGACACGGCTGCTGCTACTGGCCCCGGCCCGCGGCCCATGGCGTCGTTGTGGTCGGGGGCGCCGACCCCGCCACCAGCTTCTCCGACGCCCACCTCGTGGAGCTGGGTGAGCCGGGGGGAGGGGCTGCACGCGGCCTAGTTGCTCATGAGACCAACCAGATTTTTGTTTAAAAAAATAATTAAAAAAAAATTGTAATTGCAAGCTTTGGGGCACAAACGTGCCCTTGTCCCTTGCCTGGCAGGTGCGCACAGGTGGGCTCTGTTGAGGTGGACGGGGCTCCTACCCCGGTACGAGCACACCACCTTCGTTCCAGCCAGCGACCCGTCCAGCCTGTGGGTGTTTGGAGGGGCTGACCAGTCGGGGAACAGGAATAGCGTGCAAGTGCTGAATCCAGGTGAGTGCCCGGCCGTCCTTGTCTCTCTGCTGGCCAGTCATGCAGAGAGGGGCTTTTCTTCATGTGAAAAGCTGCTGGGAGGTTTTTTTAGGAACAGAAACTGGAAGCAGCCTGCTGTATCTAGTTCAGTGCTCTGGTGCTTCAAGCAACCCTTGATCCACTAAGCATCAGCCTCCATATTAAAACAGCCCTTGGTGTAGTAGATAAAAAAAAAAGTAAATCAAGTGGACGGCTGCTCCAAAACCTTACTCTAATGGTTAAATTCATAGACATGAGGGCTTGAAGGGACCTCACGAGATCATCTGCCCCAGGGGTAGGAAGTCAGCTGGGGTCAGATCACCCCAGCAAGATCAGCATCCCGGGGTTAGACACAGTCTTCTGATTTCCATGTGAAACTTATTCACAGCCAATTTGCAATTATGATTTTATTTTAATTAGAATTAGGAACCTGGGAAAGTCCTGAGGTAACTGGCACTCAGCCACTCCCAAGGACATTTCATTCATCATCAGCTGTTATAGGAGACTGCTTGTATGTGTTTGGAGGAGGAGATAAAGGAGCAGAGCCTGTTAAAGATCAACAGCTTCATGTTTTTGATACAGGTAACTCTAAGTAACTAAAGCTCTGTAAACGCATTCTTTGTCTGTTTGAAGTGAATGTTTGCATTATGCAGAGCTAAGGAACTAGATACACAAATAATACATACAAGTTCAAATGCAGTGTGTTATTGGAAGCCTGATTTGTGGCTAGGAGTCCATGTTAGGCATCATCTTCTAATTCCCGAATTGAATCTACGCATGGGAAGTTTATATGTGTTCTTTCACCAACATTGGCCTCTAGCTTAAAGTTCTTCTCCTTCCCTGGTGTTCCATCCCTCCCCCCATATGTTTACAAACAGAAGTCATATCCCCTTTCATCTTTCACTTTGCTATGCTAAACAAGCCAACCTTTTTTAGTTTTTATAAGACAGGCTTTCCCTTTTCTTGATCATCCCCCACTGTCCTTCCTTGAGCCTCCTTCAGCTAGAATTCATTCACCCTTGATCCTGTGACCAAAACTATACCCAGTATTCCAGTTGAGCTCTCAACAGTATCACCTTTAGTGAAAATGCCTCACTTGGAAACCCTGCTAGTTTAATGGCTTTACAGAACTTCAGCAAGTATCTTCCTAATGCCTGTATATATTCCCATGTCTAGCCGCTTTGACTTGGTCACAGCCAGAAGTGCATGGGGATCCTCCTGCATCTCGGCAAGGGCACGCAGTTGTTGCAGTTGGGAGCAGGCTCTTTTTGCACGGGGGGCTAGCTGGTGAACATTTTTATGATGATCTCTTTTGCTTGGATACAAGTAAGTATGTGAGGAAGCTGTGTCTGCATTATTAAATACTGTGTAAATCACTGAAGTGACCATTGCATAAGTGCAGTAAGTATACATCTGAGTGGCTGGCTGCAGATGGGAGGGAATTTTTTTTTTATTGTCCTGCTTTCTGCATCTGTCTGAGCAGCTATGCAATATGGTAAGCGCACAGGCGACTGCAGTCTTTAAGCAAACAATTTCTATTGGCATGCCCAAAGTGATGACAGTGTCAAGGTGCATGTTTGCACAGATCTCATCCACCTTTTTCCTGCTGTCTGCTCTCTGTATCACTGAGAAATTCACAGTCCTGTACTGTAGGTTGGGGAGCAGTTGTTTACTTGGCCTGTCTGAGCATATGCTGATGTGTAGTGGGGTTTTTGAATTACTGAAAAATTACTTAACTTTTCCATGTGCTGGAGTAGTTGTTCCTAGAGTTCTACAGGAAAATGATCTTAACCAAGTATAGCTCCTACTCTACTTGCATCCTGACAATTGTAGGTACATCAAGTACTCTGGCGAAGGGAAATCTACCGTATTCCCAAGGGAGATGGAAATCTGTCTGATGCAGGAGCATACTAAGTACTTGTAATGTTTGATATATTCAAATCTGAAAAAAAACAGCAGCCATGTTACCAGTCTGAGCTCTTAAAAGCAAATCCAGAGACTGGGTTCGGTGGTGTTGTGTCCCTGCCACATGTGCGCACCCTAAATTTCAAACGCTGCCCCACTGTTAGCTAATAAATACTCTTCTGTCTTTCTATAAAATATAGCTATTGATTTGTTTTTTCCTATTACAGGTGATATGAAGTGGGAAAAGGTACTGGTGACGGGTGATGTCCCAGGAGGACGGGCAGCACACTCAGCTGCTGCCTTTAGGGACCATTTTTACATTTTTGGTGGAGTAGACCCAACTGGGGCACTGGATACAATGTACAGATATCACATAGGTGGGCATTTTTTCCTTCAGGTATACAAAGGTGTCTGCACTTAAGGAAAACATTAACCTCTTGATACGATTTACTACATTGGTCCTAGATTCCCTTGATCTCCTGTAGTTTTAATGTGTATATATAATGTAACTGAAATAATTTGTATTATGTCAGCGTGGAACAGGAGTAATACCATAGTCTCTTGGGTCTACGTACCTACTTTTGGGGGGAGAATTTGCACACTGGCTTATAACTTGATGCCCCTGTCCTTTGTGAAGTTGTGGGCTGATTCCACACTGAATTGTCTCTGTCTCTTTGGCTGCAGAAAAACAGCATTGGACACTGCTAGAATTTGATTCCCCCTTGCCCCCTGGAAGGCTGGACCATTCCATGTGCATAATTCCATGGCAAGTGTGTAACAGTGTGGAGAACAATGTTTCAGAAGCTGCAACAAACAGAGACAAGTTTGAGAAGGAAGCAACTGTTACAGTTGCTGAAGAAGGTGACCCAAGTCAGAACAAACGAATTGGAAAAGGAAATATAGAAGACACACTGGTGTATCTGTTCTTTGTGTTTGGTGGGATGGATACTCAAGGGGAAATTTACAGGGACTGTGTTGTAAGTCTAGTTGAGTAATGCAGGGTTTACCACTTATATAGACCCATTCCCCTTTTTGTATGTTTAGCAGGTAACACAGCTCCAATAAATGGGACTACTACAAACTGACAGTATTGTGCTCAGTACACCTTTTTTAAAAGGTGCTCTGGATAGAGGTATTGAGTGATGATTGCATTACTTCACCTCACTCAGATTCCCAAATTACATACATACAAGCAGAGTCTTGAGATAACTACACGCTCTCAGTGCTGCAGCTGTTTTTTGTGTCCTTGCTAAAGGACAGTAGGCTCTGAACTTTGCCTCCCATGAACAGGATTAGCCATAGAGCATGATCTGAAGTAGACAAACCCACTCTCTTATTTTCACCCTTTCCCTGCAGCTTTTTGTTTGTTTCTTGTCTGGGCTTGAGGGTTTGCCTTCATGTGGAGTTTTACTGGCATAGTTAAACAGTGTAGTTCATACCAACCTAGTTGTGTGTGGGGGATCTCTCACCAGTAAGAGTGCTAAACTGGGGCCAGGTATGCTTTAGATCTAGAGTAGGAGGATTGTGTATTGAGGAAGTAATACATTGAGTGGCATCACTCTTGCTCCCTTGAGGTGAGTACAAGCCATGTAGGTTCCTAAAAAGCAAGACCAGCCTGTACTGTTAAGCATTCCAAAGGTGCATCTCAAGCCGGTCCAGAGAGGTGATACTCCCTCTTTATGTGACTTTGGTCAGGCTGCAGTTGGAGAACTGTGTCCAGTACTGGGCACCACACTCCAAAAGGGATGTGGCCAGCCTGGAGAGGGTTCAGAGGAGGGCCACCTGTTTGGTGAGAGGGTAGCAGGACAGGCCCTATGAGGAGAGACTGAGGGACCTGAACCTGTTTAGCTTCCACAAAAGGAGGCTGAGGGGGAACCTGGTGGCCGCCTACAGCCTCATCAGGGGAAAACACACCATGGATATGTAATACAGAAGATACTGCTTTGACAGGTCATAGAAGCACTGGATATTAATACAAATTAAGCCCATTTGTTCTTACTAGATCAATTTAAGGCTAGAATACTAAGCTAGCATGTTTGCACATATTCAGAAGTAAGCTTTATAATGTTCTCCAAAACCTGCTAGATTGGCCAGTAGTTACATGCAAATTAAGAGAGAGATGTATGATGGTAGGGGCAAATAATATTAAATATTCTACATTAAGAGTTAAGGCAATAAAGATCTCAAATTGCTGTATTTATTTCACACCTTTTTAAGTAGTGGGTATTAGTTAATACCAAGCTCCCACACTCCCATTAATAGTAATTTAGTTTGTTATATAGTTGAAGCAGGAGAATTTGTTTCCATTCTGAAGTGAAAGAATTTCCAATGCAAGAGTACTGAAAAGCATATTTTTTCTCCATTTTAATGCAATTAAAGCAAAATTTGAGAAGTGAAGTAAAGTGTAGCAGAAGGAAGCCATCCCTCTTCCCAGACAGAAAGGCTAGAGAGCACTGGCAGTTACTGTAGAGTTGTATCCTTGTTTTCCTACCTAGGAGGGACAAAATTTATTTTCTTCAGAAGGTGCCCCACAAAGGGAAACAACTTTGCATCTGGCACGAGGTCTTCTTTCATACTTCCCTTATAAAACGTAATAAAAGCTGCTTTCCTGCCTATTTTAAGAGTGATCATGGAGCAAATACTTTACTTGGAATTGGGGGGGCAGTAGTTCACTTGAAAGGTAAGAGACAAAAGAATCTCAATTCTAAAATATAAGCCCCTCCCCACTAATAAATGGAAACATTTGAGTTAACTACATACAAAGAAGAAGTCCCTTTCAGGGGGAAGGGGGTGGGGATACCTAAATAAGACAACCCCACACCAAGAATTCCAGTGTAAATAAAAACAAAAAGTTTATTATTGTGGACACTCAAAGTAGAAAAGACTTCTACACAGAATGCACATGACCCAGCTGTTAAATAAGATGGTTTCCCACGTGAACACTTCTAAACCCCTGCTCATTTACAAATCCCACCCTTCTACTCCCCTTCCCTCCCCCAGACAGCAAGCAACTGCTAATGAAAAGCAGTAAACAGCCACTTTGGGCTAACATTTCCAACTCCACTCAGAAGTGAAGACTCCAATTACATTCCAGATTAGAGTTCAATATTTTAAATGAAGAGTTCTTGAGTCCAATATATATACACAAGGTACCATCACTGAGATCCCAGCCCTTACAGTTCATCTTTCTCTCCTTCTCCTGCCTCCTCTTCCCCAGGAGGAGGTCCTGCACTTCCATAAAGCTTGCTAACAATTGGCTGGACAACCTCCTCCAGCTCCTTCTTTTTAGCTTTGAAGTCTTCTATATCAGCATCCTGATGGCTTTCAAGCCATTCAATTTTTTCCTCTACTGCTTTTTCAATTGTCTCTTTGTCTTCAGAAGAGAGCTTGCCACCTAGTTTCTCTTTGTCACCAATCTGATTCTTCAGCGAATAAGCATAACTTTCCAGCTCGTTTCTGGCATCAATACGCTCCTTCAGCTTTTTGTCCTCTTCTGCAAACTTCTCAGCATCAGTAACCATTCTCTCAATCTCTTCTGGGGTCAGACGGTTCTGATCATTGGTAATTGTGATCTTGTTTTTGTTTCCAGTACCTTTGTCTTCAGCTGTAACACGGAGGATTCCATTCACATCTATCTCAAAGGTAACTTCAATCTGCGGGACACCACGAGGGGCAGGAGGGATTCCAGTCAGGTCGAAAGTGCCCAGGAGATGATTATCCTTTGTGAGAGGACGTTCACCTAAAAGGTAAGACTTCTTAGTTTCATATAGTGCTTAGGGTCAGAAGGGACCTAAACAGATCATCAAGTCTGACCCCCTGCCCCAGGCAGGAATGGGTGCTGCTGTCATACATCACCCCATATCATATCTTGTTTTAGGTTGTGAACTCAGCTAGGTGCAAGTCTGTTGTAGTTAACAATGGGTCTCAAGCAAGAAAACCAGACTCTTGAGTTTCCTTATTATTTGCTAGTGCTATGGGGGAAACCCCTTAGCTTCTCCATCAAGCTTTGTCAACAGAAGCCTACTGCCATTCCTGCTTGGAATTCAGGCACCCCACCCAACACAAAAAAACCCAAAACACACATTGACACCCCTTGGCTGAACCCAAGGCATTGGCCAAAAACCCCCCCCCCCCCCCACCCCCAGCTGGGCCTGTAAATGTTCTCTTGTACTATTCCAACAAGCCTATTATTTCTGTTTGCAAAGACAGTTTGTGAAGCAGTTGAGATCCCCTAAGGTTTTGTATTTTTTTACATTAGAGTAGGAAATTCTCTCTCCTGTCCTGTCCCCCTCCCTTTAAAAGTGTGAAGAAAAACTGAGTTTTAGGTTCCAAGAGTAGAACTAGCACTGGCTAAAAGCTACTGCTCCTTTAAAAACAGTGGAAAAAAGGAAAGAACTATTCCTTTCCCAAGGAGCTGCCATAAAAATCAAGACTGCTCAGTCACTATTTGTGGCTGACAGCTTTAAAGTAGGTGCCTTAATCAAATGCAGAAGCTAGGTCACATGACCTTGAAAAACTGATCTAGGCTTTAGATCTCTACAATATTTGCCCACTGCTATAAACACAGACAGACATACTCACCTTCATAAACCTTAATTGTTACAGTAGGCTGGTTATCGGAGGCTGTTGAAAAAATCTGGGACTTCTTGGTGGGCACAACAGTGTTTCTTGGAATAAGCTTTGTCATGACACCCCCAACAGTTTCAATGCCAAGAGTCAGAGGACACACATCAAGCAGCACCAGGTCACCTGGAACAAAATAAATGGGTTTAAAGGTGATGCTTATTTTTAAATTTTTTCAAGTCTCAGATTCATGAGATGATGCTAATGTCAAAGTGTCATAAGAACTTGAAAGTTCTTTTAGAGTGTTTAAGAGACTTATTTCCAAGTTCCAATCCTGGGTTCCAGGAGCAGAGTAGCCATTCCTGCTCAAAAAAAAAAAAAAAAGTGTCATTTTGAAGTCAGACTTATGCTGTTACTGCACTTACCAGTGTCCTGGTCACCAGAGAGAACACCAGCTTGAACAGCAGCACCATAGGCTACAGCCTCATCTGGATTAATGCCACGAGAAGGCTCTTTGCCACTGAAGAACTCCTTCACCAGCTGCTGTATTTTGGGGATTCTTGTGGAGCCACCAACAAGGACTATTTCATCAATATCAGATTTCTTCAGATCAGAATCTTCTAGCACTTTCTGAACAGGCTTCATAGTGGAACGGAACAAGTCCTACAAAAGCCACACAAGTAATTAAAACAGTAGCAAAGGGTCTCATGCACAGAAGATGGAGAGCCCATGTACCAGTTATGCATGGATCTGGAAGAGAGTCAGAGCAGAGCTAGAAGACAGCTTTATGGGCTAGGGCTCTGCTAGATGCAAGCTACCCCCACAGCCTTGAAACTGGAGTTAGTCTACTCCCCCTCACCCCCCAAGTGCTTTTCCAGTTCAGCTTTCTGCCTGGATGCAAGTCAGCGGTTCTAACAAAGATTAGAAGTGAGCAGTTGTAGCTAGGAGTTACTCGCACTCACCATGTTCAGCTCCTCAAACTTTGCCCGGGTAAGTGTTTCAGAGAAGTCCTCCCCCTCAAAGAAGGACTCTATTTCAATTCTAGCCTGATGCTGGGAGGACAAGGCTCGCTTCGCTTTCTCCACCTCCCGTCGTAGCTTCTGCACAGCTCTGTTGTCCTTCCTGACATCTTTTCCTGTCTTCTTCTTGTATAATTTGATGAAGTGCTCCATGACACGTTGGTCAAAGTCTTCTCCACCCAGGTGAGTATCTCCATTGGTGGCCACGACTTCAAAGACACCATTATCGATGGTAAGCAGGGAAACATCAAAGGTTCCACCACCCAGATCAAACACAAGGATGTTCTTCTCACCCTCCCTCTTATCTAGTCCGTAAGCAATGGCAGCAGCTGTACTGTTGAGAGAAGTGGGGGAAGACCAAAAAAAGCTACAGTTCAAGAACTCATTAACATTAAAACAAAACAAAAACACTATTAAAAAAAAGTTACTTACGGCTCATTGATTATCCTCATCACGTTCAGTCCAGCAATGGTACCAGCATCCTTTGTAGCCTGACGCTGAGCAT